GGTGCACTGAGGATCTTATTAGTCAGTTTCACCTGTGTAATTAGTGAACTGATGTTCCTCAGGGTTTGATTATATATTTATTAATGTAATTTGTAAATATAGTACTAAAAAGGGAGTTATTAAAAAACTGTTATTTTTTCAATAAAGGGTACCACTTCTAATATATAAATATATTACAGTTTATATCAGCACAATCCGAACACTTTTCACGTGCAGTACTTCCCAAAAAAACCCTTTTTAGTCGCGGCATAACGGCTCATAGAAAGACTCTGAGTTTTTTGTTTTTGTTTTTCAAGTATAAACTTTCAGCTCATTTCTTGACTGATTTGAGATCTAATTACAGTTTTGGACTCACGAAGCCAAACCCTTTCGATTGATGATTTGACCACGCTCAAGGTCTCATAGATTAATTTACCCTAATCCTGCCTGAAATAACTTGAATTCGAGTGTAAGTTGGAAGAGATCCTGATGAGTAATAAAATCGAATCGAGTATACGCGCGCCCCAAGCTTGGTATTGTTGGCGCACAAAAAAATATACCTAAAAAAAGGGGGAAAAGAAGGTCTCATAGATTAATTTACTCTAGTCCTGCCTAAAAGAATTTCAAGTCCCGCGGCTATTGAGGATTCCCTCATTTTTAGAAAATGCTTAATTTTTCTAAAAAAATTGTCAATGAAGTATGAATACTACGATTAGTAATTACTAGCGCAAACAGTCGCCCGTAGCGCTGCGTTTTTGCTATTATATATAATAGCCAAATGTCTGTCTGTAGCGCCCTATATCTCCTGAGTGGTTGATCGTAGAAACAATATATTGTTACGTCTCCGTTTGTTAATTAACTTTCCGTAACTTCGTTCCGACGAAACTTTAGCGACACAAGTCCTTACTTAATAAAACTGGTTTATTCTTTCCGAATACAACTTTACGATACACTTATTTTCAACAATCACGCTAAAACAAACGCTTTTTCAACGAACGTCTACAATACTTCTGACTGCAGTTCAATTACTCACTATCTACACACACATTACATTACATTCCCGCGTCACGTTGTCACCCTCTTATATATACCAGACTACCCTATCTAGTAAATACAAGAGCATTCATGAAGGAACAAGATAGTTCTAGAAACTAGAGGGCGCCACACCAGTCACGTGACTTCGATGACGCAACAATATCTATATATTTCGTTTTAATTTGATATCTTTTAGATTTCCATAAATGGCGTCCTTTACAATAACAATAATAGCAAAATTTGTACTAGCACGAGTGGATAGCTAAACTTGAGATACTATACCTCACTTTCAGAAATCTTTTATACTCAAGTGAGTCTGCGTACTCATGTCCCAGGCACATCTGACGTCATAAAAAAAAATTAATAAATCAACAAATATGAATATTTCATAACACAAATGCTACAAGTTTAGTATTATTTTAATATAAAAATTATCACTATAGCAATACTATAAAAAAAACAATAAAGAATTTAGCAGCTTACAAAATTTTAGAAATAATCAAACGAATCGTTATTTACATTAATTTCCTTAGGACTTTAGTGGCTTGAGGAGAGTTAGGCTAATCCTTAGAAGTGACAGCTAGAAAGCAACTTTTCCAATGTCGTTAAACGTCTGCTGTATTCGCTATAATTACGATAGTCCAAAAGAACCTATCAAGGTTTTTCAATTTTTATCAGAAATCTCATAAAACATCCCTGATAATAATTTAAAGATAATTTTGTCTTGATAAAAACTTGCACTGTTGTATAATTTATATAATGAATAAGAAAACTATGCCTTCTTTCTTTCTGTTTTAATTCCTCTTTTCTTTTATCACTGATAAACAGTTTTATTTCATCTTGCCTCCCTTCGT